CCCTAAAAACACAGGCTTTTTGGCTATCTAAACAGCTTGTACACAAATATAAATACTTATTTATACTTATTTTGTGTTTTTGTAATAGTTATTGGGAAAATATTACATCAGCAATTATTTTATTACCCTTTAAATTGCTTTCTGGAGATTATCCAAGGTGCTTCATGACCCAYAATTGGGTCCCAAGCCCAACGTTGGGAACCAAAGTCACTAGATATATGGTTCAGGCACATTTGATCGAGAAGAGTGCAGTTTTTTGATCAGCATGATTTAAGAACTGATAAACTTTTAAAAACATCAGATTTTTGTAAATTAAAAAAAATACCTGTATTTGTTTGTGCTCATGTTTGGTCTATACAAAATAAAACTAACAAAAGTTTATTGTATTTCATTTATTTTGCTAATTATCTGTTTAATGGGAACGATATCTTAGTAGTTTTTTTTATTTGCATTGCTAAATCTTGTATCATAAAAGATGTTTGTTTTTATTTTTACACATCCAATTGAGTGATTTGCCATAATTTCCCTGAAGTGCTGTTTTACATGCATCACTGATTTAATTGTGTTAATTGATAGTTTGGAATTGATCAGATAAGCTCCAGAATAGCCCATTAACCCCATTTAAGAGTTAAAAACCAGTATATGCACTCGTTACCTTTATCTAGCTTAGTCTCTCTGACCCATTAGCAGCTTGCCTCGGGGTCGTGAACAGCAAACAATTCAAAAACGTGGAATGGGCACGTTTCTTTACATAAAAATGTTTGCTTGACCTTTTTAGTTTTTTTTTTTTTTTTTTGGTGCTCATTAAAAACTGGTGGCGCCTGGGCATGCGGCTCATGTGAGAACACTTCAGAGCACGTTAGTGCAGATTACAGGGCAATGACAAAAAGCAGGGAAGTGMGGAMGAAGAAACAGCTGGGTCCGTCTGCCATGATGTTTCCAGAACAAGAGGCCACAGACAATGTGGGGACGTCAGAAGCTTTCATGTTCAAGTTGACGGTTGCTGTCAAGGCAGAGCCAGCCCGAACACGTCCGACACCCCTAAGCCGCCTCCACATCYGCTTCTCCAGTTCCGCTGTTATGGCGTTAAAGTCAAATACCTTAAACATTGCATATGTTGTCTTTACAGCTTTGGACAGTCCACAAACAACTTTCTGCCAAAGCTACAAATGGAAACTGACAATGACTTGCAATTTTGTGACGGTTCACATCCTAAAGTGCTCRTTATTATACAGAGAAAAGCATAAACCTGCAATCAGCCTTGTGTTTTCATGCTTGAATTAATGGTTGAGCACATAACATAAAGGGTACATTTAAGATAAATACAATTTATATTCTTTTCACGCAGGCAAAGCTTTAGTTCTGCAGTGTGTTTGTGTTYTAAAATGTTTGCACAGTCTTTGTTGCTTGCAAGAAAACAACCAGATGATGATAATTTCCTGGTTTTTCTATCTAAATGTCACACATTGGCTATATTAAGACTGCTTGACTTGTGTTTGAGATGTTACTGTAGTCACTCTTGCTGTACATACAGTTCCAGTTCTGCTTCAGTGAATATGAAAATTTGTGGCGTAGCCTGCAAAAAAGAGCGAACACAGCATTTTAACACATTTTCCCTACAACTTCTTATTCATTTATTTAAAAGAAAAACTTATTTAATGTCTCTCCCACAGCTTCTTTCTATGGTGATGGCTTCGTACAGCTCAAGGCCACGGAGTCGTCGGACCATAACGTGCTCCGCGTTCGCTTTCGAACCTCCAGCACCGACGGCCTGCTGTTTCTTGCTGCCGGCCAGGCCAACTACTTCCTGCTGGAGCTTCACGCCGGTCGCCTGCAGGTGGGAACATCCATGGCCGCAGCACACGAGCATATGTGTTCATGCATATAGAAGTGCACAGCACACGCAGAAGACACACAGCGTTGTGCTCGACTGTGCGCACCACGGACACACAAACACTGACCACTGTAAGCTGTGGGTCTGTCTTGGTTGTCAGTGTTAGTCTGTCAGCCCGGCAATGCACACAGACAAGCATGGTGTGAGTGTTAACTCGGCGTTAGTCACGTCTTGTTGCAGTGGAGACCAGGGGTTTGTTTTCTTTGTATTCAAATGAACAGTTGGTCATCGAGGGTTTACTCTGCAAATAGGCTATGAAATGTCAAATCTGAACCATTTTTCTCATTCTCTAACATATTTAACTAACAGTTCTAAGTGCAATATTTTAATTTCAGATGAAAAAATAATGCATTGCAAACCAAAACATGCTGAATATTTAATATTGGTGTAAACCCTTTTCCCCCTGAGAACAAACATTGAAATGTTGCTAATATTTTCAGACATTTTTCACGTGTAAACATAGCCCTAGTAGTACCATTTCTAAAGATTTCATCCAGACATAAAGTGCATGTGACATGCATATTATACAAAAAGTATAAGAAAGCATCTTTATATTTAAGAAAGTTGGAATAATACACATGATTTTACCCATTTTGTCTCATAACTGTCATATTTTCTTTTGAACTTGACTCAGCCAAAGTGAAACAGGAAGTGACATCAAAGGGGAACTCTTTAACAAAGAAAACTGTCTGGTGATTGTTTATTGAAACAATATTATTTGAACTCTGACTCTTCTTCATCTCTCTCATGATAGTGACTCAAAATAATCTTAAGAATCATCAGATTGTTTTCTACAGTCTGAGTTATTAGCTGTTGCAGATATTCCCCTTCGACATCACTTCCTGTTAATTCACAGGCAATTATCTCAACGACTGTTCATCTCAGCGACATGAMATTTCTTTTGCAATATTTGATCAATGTCCTCTTTCTAATAATGCATTCATATGTATTACAAAAATTTGATGTCACMGGCCCTTTAATGATATAAATAAATTCACTTTGGTCATTTTTAGTAAYTTTATAGCTTAAGATCTTGATCTTGAGTTCTAAAAGCATCTTTTGAAGCTCTTCCTCAAACACGGCAGGCTTCAGCCCCACAAAGTAAACACTTGTATGGTTGGCTGTCTTTTTAAAATGCAATTACTTTWAAAAATGTAGGAAATCATTAGAAATACGTGGTAGCTTCTGTGATTTAAACTTGGACATCCTTATGACTAAGCTCATACTTGCTAAATTTTCTCCACTGGGGTTGAATCGTACTGACAAATGTGTTGAATCTCTGCACTTCAGTGAGTAGAAAGAGTAAACTGTGTTTGCTGGGCTTTAAAACAGGCATTTTTCAAGCTTGGGGTCTCTCTCTGTGTGAGTCAGACATGAACGATGCTCCCTGAAAACTCATGCACGTTTAGCCCAGYAGCAAGCCTTGACAAGCTTGTCATCTTAATGAAGCGTTAGTTTGAGATAGTGCTGTGATTCTCTGTGGTCGTAGCTCAGGGCTAATAGATAATGGCGCCCTTCCTGTTCTAAAACACAGACGGAGCTCAATGTTATCACAACAGGTGACTTCATAAGCAGTCTGAATCCTGAAATTATTTCCCCGGGGGTCTACAGTTCATCATTTTTAAATTAATATTAAGATGTCATATTCATTTTACGCAATTATTTGTTTTGTAAATTGGAAAAGATTAGGATTTTATGCATTTTATTTAGAAATCTAAATATCATTTTGATTAATGGTCATGTTTTTGAAGTTCTGTATTTTAAACGCGAGCCAATGTCTAAAGGAAAAGTTTTGTAAGGATGAAAATAGTTCAAGTAAAATAGTAATCAAGGCATGCAGACTTATTTACAGTGAAGAAGCTAATGTTTAGTGAGTGCGACAACAGTAATCTTCTTTGTTTTKCATTGAATGCTGTAGAATTATTCATTGTAAAAGACGAAAAAAATAAAAAGTGTTGGAGAAAAGGCTTGGAGGTTTTAAAGTTGCTAAAATTCAATAATTTTTTTGTTTGTGGACTATGAATCCAGATCATTTATTCAGTTTTTGTGTGTTATAGCATGTTTTAATTGACTTTAATTGCTTCTCTTAGGTTAAACTGGACCTTGGATCGGGGGAGCAAGTGCTAGAATCAGACCGAGGCATCCAGCTCAACGATCTGGCCTGGCATTCTGTAGAGGTCCACCACCTGCGGTCAAATGTCACGCTGACTGTTGACAAAAACTCGCACACAAGCATAAAGATGCCTGGTCCTYATCACATCCTCAACATTATTGATGGTCTTTATGTTGGAAACTCGGGGGGTTTGGATAAAATGTATCTACCTAGAGACTTGATCGGCTTTCGAGGCTGCATGGACGAGGTGGTCTTCAATAAGCATGACTTGTTGTCGTCACTGAGACCATATACTGGATACAAATATGTCTATGAAGTGTCTTTAGGCTGCAGTCCCCAGTTTTCTGCTGATGTAGAGGATTCTGTCAGTTTCTTCAGTTCCAGGGCTTATGTCTCTCTTCCAACTTGGACTATTCATCAAGAGGCTGTATTTCAGTGTGTTGTGCATACTTCAGCCAAAGAGGGGATTATTCTCTACAGTTCAGCCAGAGAGGGGGGATTTGTTGCTCTGGAGATTCAGGAAGGTTTGCCAGTGGCCATTGTTGGGAAAGGTGGAGTCAAAACTGAGTTACGTTCACAAACATTTGTTAATGACAGAAAATGGCATTCTTTGAAGTTGCGTTTTAGTTCAAGAAATATTGACCTAACAGTGGATGGAGAAATGGTAAAAAGTAGCATTAGCTCCCATTTAAAGAGGCTTCATCTCAAAGGTTATCTTTTTGTTGGAGGTATAGATGATGGCACCAGGTCAGAGGTCAGAAAGGTAGGGCTCATCTCCGTATCAGGAAGACGTGTCAGAGGAGGTTCCTTTAAAGGATGCTTAAAGGATTTGGAAGTAAATAGAGTCAAAATGAGTCTTGCTAATGCATTAGTCACCAAAGATATCTCAGTCGGCTGTGAACCAGAGAAGCCACCAGAACCACCAACATCTGTGAATCCTACAAGTACACCAAAACCCCTTTTTCATTTGATAACACCAACGCCATCCCTTCACATGTCCACCCTTGCATTTGGCTTAGACAGAAGGTACGGTACAGATTTCGTACAGGTTAGGAACCTTGTGGTTCAGGAGGGTGGCCGAGCATCTCTTGAGGCCAAACACATCAAGGTATTGTTGGACTTCAAGAAGCTTGGCATTCGACAGTCTCAAATTATGTTCAGAATTGTAGAGCAACCGATCAGAGGTCAGATGAGGCTCGACGTCGATCAGGACCAAGAGGAGAACACATTCAGCATGCTGGATCTTTGGCATGGGAGAGTGGTGTACGTTCACGGAGGCTCAGAGGAACCAGATGACTTCTTCATGTTTTCAATTTTTTGTAGCAGTAGAAAGCAAGTTCCTGATTACCTGAAGGACGGCAAATTATACCAGTACAATATAACTGTGACMCCCACCAATGATGCACCGGAATTGAGCCTTCCTGAAGGAAATCTCTTTGTCCTGTTGGAGAACTCTAAGAAACTTCTGACCTCAGATATTCTGAAAGCCACAGATATAGACAGTAACTACACAGATGTTATCTTCTCTGTGCTTGGAAATCTGAATGCTGATGCAGGCTATTTGGAAATAGAGAGCAACCCTGGCAAAGCAGTTACGTCATTCTCGTACACAGACTTGAATGAATTAAGGGTGTACTATGTTCACACAGGGGTGAGAAACTCAAGGATAGTTCTCAGGGTCAGTGATGGGGAAAAAGTCAGCAACACTGTKGTTTTAAGGGTCATGGCTGTAGCAYTGCAGTATAAAATTGYCAACAACACTGGGCTTGAGATYGTTCAAGGTGAGACAGCTGTAATYAGTTCAAAGCAATTGGCAGTGCAAACCAATGCTGTGAAACAAGTTGTAGAAATCCGATACGACATCATCGAACCCCCACAGTTTGGAGAACTCCAGAGGCTTCACTCGAGTGGGGAATGGAGGCGGACCGAGTCATTTTCACAAAGACTTTTAGAAAAAGAGCGTCTTCGATATRTTAACACCTTTCAAGACATCCAAACGTCAAATGTCACTGATTATTTTAAGTGCAAAGTTGTTGTAGCTGCAAGTGCAAACACAGAAATAATTTTCCCAATTACTGTTAGCTGGATAAAGTATCAGCTGGTGAAGAATGTAATGATGAACATGGATAAAGTTAGAAAAGTGGCATTAAGCTCAGAGTACCTTTGTGCCAGAGCTGAAGGTGTGGTCGTCTCAGAAGATGACCTGTACTTTCGGGTTCTTACTACACCAAAGAAAGGGAAGCTCCTGCTTAATACTTCACTGTTGACAAAGAACTCAACCTTCAGCCAGAAAGACCTGAACGAGAAAAAGGTCCACTATGAGCTTGTTGATAGACCCTATGAGGACACAACAGACAGRTTCAAGTTTCAGCTGGTTTCTAAACATGCTCAGTCTGAAAATTATGACTTTCAGTTTTCCATCAAGGCTGACGTCAACAGCGTGTTTATGAGAAATAAAGGACTCRCACTTCAAGAGGGAGAAAGTAAACTCATCACTAAAGATGAGCTGTTTGCAGAGAGYTTGAGTACAAAGGACATGTTCTACACGGTCATGAGGAGCCCTAAACATGGAAAGCTAGCTCGTATTAGTCAGTCAAACTCCARTGCCAGCTATGACAACATCTTCACCTTTAGTAATCAGGATATACTGCAGGAACGGTTGATGTACATCCACGATGACAGTGAAACAACTCAAGATGGATTTACTTTCATAGCTTCTACCAGCCAAAAATTCAAGTCTTCCATCGAAGRAGATGAAATTGGCTCCAAAGAAGGAATATTCAACATCTCTATTCAGCTGCTTAATGACCAAAAGCCAATGCGTGTCATCGATAAAGTTTTTCATGTAGTAAGGGATGGACAGAAGTTGCTCACTATAGAAGACTTGCGCTACCATGATGCGGACTCTGACTTCGATGATGGCCAGCTCATCTACACTCGACGTGGAATCCCAATGGGAGACCTTGTGCTGGTCAACGACACCACTCATCGACTGTTCCAGTTTCAACAGAAGGACTTGGAGGAAAGACGAGTGYTGTTCTTTCACAAAGGCGTGAGCACTGGCAGATTTGTGCTGTTCGTCTCAGATGGAAAACATTTCGTATCGAGCCTTTTGGACGTCAGTGCTCGTGATCCTTTCTTGAAGGTCGCTAATAACACTGGTCTGTTGGTTCAGAAAGGACAATCAGTGACTTTTTCCACCAGCAATTTCAGTCTTGTATCAAATTTGGACATAAGACATGACAAAGATGTTGTTTTCAATTTGAGTGAGGGTCCCAAATATGGAGCTCTTTATTTGAATAAAACAATCGTGGAGTCATTCACGCAGTTTGACCTAAAAAATGGACTGATCTCCTATCGGCACAATGACAGCAAACATCTGACGGACTTTTTCAACCTAACAGTGAAAGCTAAAGGTCTTCAGCTTGCAGAGAGAATCAATGTGAAGGTTTATCTGGAAAGTCATCAGAGGCCACCTATCGTGCAGCATCTAGARTCTTTACTTGTGGAAGAGGGAAAACCAGTGAAGATTGATGAAACTAAACTTGAGGTGAGTCAGTTAAAAATTTAGTAAATCATATTTAAATAGGGAAACTCTATTCATTTATTTTTTTTGTTCATGTATTAGTTTTTCAAATTCTTAGATTTACTGAAAGTATGTCATTTTAAGATCTGGAAACAAAAAATGCAAAATTAYAAATCCTACATTAAACTGGTCAAGTCTAAATTCTGGAGTGTTACAAAAAGAATCCAATGAAAGTAACGTTTCAGATTTAACCACTGAGTGTTTTCTGTTCGCTGCAGGTCACACATGAGGACAACCTGCCATCTGAGATTGCGTTTGCAGTCAGGGTAGCCCCATCGCACGGCTATCTCAGGCGTTTTGTAGAGGCAGAGGAGCGCTACATCGGAACCAAACAGTCGCCTGTCAAGACGTTTACCCAGGACGACATTAACGGCGGCAACATCCAGTACGTGCAGGTGGAGCCGAACAAAGTGAACGACACCTTCGTCCTAGATGCCACCAACGGGGTCACTGACGTCTGCGGCATTAGGGTGTCTGTTGACATCATCCCCCTCCTTATCCCCCTTCACGTCACTAATTTCACACTGACTGAGGGCGCCTCGAAGGCACTTACCCAGGAAGTGCTCAAAGTCACTAACAGACACTTTTCTGGAATCAGTTTCCTTTATATTTTGACCGATTTGCCTCATCATGGTCGCATAGAGCACTCCAGACACCCTGGTGTGTCCATAACCACTTTCACCAGGAGGCAGGTGAGAAATCCTTAGCACCGACACTCAAAAATGGTACTAAAATAGTTATCAGCTGTAATTTCTGCACTTATTATTATGGCTTTGATATGTTTTTAAAATGCATAACACRTTTTTTAATACATACACAATAATTCATATCAACTCTCATATATGTGACCCATCACATCAAAATGAGGATTAAGTCAAATTTGGTCAAAATGACCTAATCATATTTTCAGATTCCTGGCTTTAAAAGCTACATTTTGATACTGAGATCATCCTGATATCATTAGTAGATCCAGAGATATTTAATTAGTCTGGTTGGTTACAATAATACATAAATATTTGGTCTAAATCCTAATTTTATGTAATTTTAATGAGGATTTTTTTTATGTCATTTTAAAAAATAAACCTCAGATAGTATTTGAATATTAAGATTTCCCAGCTGGAAAGAAACAAAAGCTTTGAAAGCTCATAGGGAAAATCTCAACATTTTAAAGGCGTTTTTCCTCAAAATCAGGTTTTTGTTGCTAATGCTCAAAAAAGTGTTTCAAAAAAATTTTTTTGGGATAATATTTCAGACCGTTCGTTGAAATGATACATTGATAACACATTTATTTGTTATATTTTGACAAAATGTAATTTTTGAAAGTGTTTTAATCAAAACACTATCTGCCTATTTCTCCACATAACAACTTTTAGACTTAATCCTCATTTCAATGTGATATGGGTCACATATCGTGTCTCTGCAACTACTTTGTTCAAAACCACTAGTTGCGGTTTCGGTGTTATCTAATGATTTCTCTGATTTTCAACCAGGTGGAGCATGAATTCATTTACTACGTCCACGACAACAGCGAAACCCTCGCTGACAATTTCACAGTGGTGGCCAACGACACGGGCCTGAGGAAGCAAAGTGCAGCTCAGACAGTTTACATCGAGGTTACTGCTGTCAATGATGAGCCTCCTGTTATTACAACCAACAGGGTCCTCAGGGTGAGTCTGCACTCCAGCTCTAAATTTAAACTCTTGACACATTTTTTTTAATCCAGCAGGAGTGGCACTGTAGCTTACTGTCAGAAGACTCGCATGGGGTCAGTGTTGCAAGTTGTCATGGCAGACTGGCTGACGGAAGGGGGGAAACTATGTTTGCTATGTGGAGGAGGGACTCTCAGCACTGGCAGCACAGAGCAGACCTATATTTGGAGGTGCCCTGACTCTGTCAGAGTGTCTGTGTAGGTAGTTAAGTGTTAAAACCTAAATAAACATTAAAATGTCAATCATATTATCTCTAAAGGAGACATAAGCTTTTAAATACTTCTTTTTCTCATTTAAATCATTCAGTCAGAGTCTATAGAAAGTGGAACTGCAATGCTTTGGTGTRAATTCCTCTATATTTTAGCTTTCCCAACCACTCGTACTCGTTTACCCTTTTTCTGGGGTGTGTCTCAAACTGTGTTTCCATCCCATTTTAATTCGAATTTTGAGTGAATTTTTAAAATTTCGCAAAAAGGAAAAGACTAAGAAATGCAAGTCAGACGTGTTTCCATCCACTGGCTTGAAGCGAATCACTTACGTCAGACGCATGCATTTAGTAAACAGGAAGTAAAAGTTGCATCTCAGGACAATGGAGAGAAGTTATCAGGAACGTGTTGCTACTATGGGGAAAGTTGTAATTGTTCTGTCATATCAACTAGTTCTGGAGATTTTACATGCGGTCGGGAAACGTAGAAAAAAAATGCAATTCTCTTCATGTTACGGGAATAACAGAAGACGACAACAGCAGGAGGAGGGTCCTGCTGCGAGTCGCGGCTGCAGTCGCTCTGGTACCGGTCCAGTACCATTCAGATAGTCGGAACAGCTGATCAATCATGTGAGGTAAATGTTCGCTACGTCAGAATAGATTCGACAAATGTTTTTTCATCTCTCCTTTTGCGCATTAACTCTTTTTCGAAAAAAAAMAAACAAAAACCACCAAGCGAGCGTATCAACTTTTATGCGAATTAGAGGAAGTTTTTTTTCGAATCATGCCGTTTCCATTCACCTTTTCTGATGCGATACTTCAAAATGCGCATTAAAAAACCTTGACGGAAACAGAGCAACTCGTTTTGAGGCTGTCTCTTAAAATCCAAAYGAGGTGCTTCAAACCCCGCCCCYTCCAGCTTCCAGCTCGGTTCATTGTAGTTTGATAGAGAGTAACGTCGATCTAGCAGAGCGTAAAGGTTTTATTCTGAAATTCCCTCCCTCTTCATTATTATTGGTATTTAACCACAGAACTCTGCTGGTTATTTTGACTCTGTTAACTGTAGCCGTCTCTTGCATATGTTTAGAAATATATACACAAAATATTAAAGTTGTTAAATGTCCATGGGCTGGATGATGCTGACATGTGCTGTTTTGTAACCCAAGTAAAACTCAATGAATTTTAGTGGCTAAAGTTTGAGATCCAGCTGGAAAGAAGGTTGAGATAAAAATCTTTGATTTTTCAAATCATTGTAATCCCACAGCTGCAGAGAAGAAAAACTACAAATATTTGTGTCATTAAAGAAAACATGAGTACCAGTTTAATAGTGGTTATGATCAGAAACACTGATATTTTACTCAGTGTTTGGTTTAAAGTCACAAGTTTAAAAAGAAATAGTATATGTTAATGGCCACAAGGTGGCTGTCTGTCACTGCCCATCACCTTCAATCTGAAACTGAACTGTGAAAGTTTACTGATTTTTAATATTTTTTTTCTCTTCATGAAATTGATTCGGATTGTTGGTTTAAAAATACTTTTTGTATCAGTATAAAACCCTCATGTTCTCAGTTTATTAGCTGTGCCTCATGAATTATCTTTATACAGTAAGTGTCTTGGCAGCTTTGCACTGATCAGTGCAGTCAAGTTGATAAAACAAAATTGTTATTCAAACTAGTTTGTCCTAAAAACAGAAACTCAGCCAACTGAACAGACAAATTAATTATCCTCCACTGATTTTTTTTAACAGTATAAAAACAATAGAAACTGTGACTTTGTATGATTTTAGAGCTGCTTTGAGGAGCGACTCCTGCAGGCAAATTCTCAGTTTCTTGTCATGAGAATTTATGACAATAATATATGATTCTCTTTTTGTAGTTCTGTAACTGGGACACGGGCCCCTCGGGGGGCTGCGAGGATGACTAAAGAAATAATATAAAGTCAGATAGAGTTGACAAAATGAATTATGTTGGGAAAACAAACAAACACATGATCTGATGCTATTATTTGAGTCTATTTACCACAAAAATGCAACTTAGCTCCATATTCAGTTGTTTTTCCTTGTGTGTATGAACAAAGAGGAGACATCTAATCCACTGATATTTGCTGCTTTGTAGGCTTGTAGAAAGAAAAGTGGAAGACTTTTAATCAGTTGAAGCAGTAATGGAACAAAGATTGATGTGTGGTGAAGATGTTTGTGAGTGGTCCGCCACGCTTTGGGAACTGATCTGGACTCCGAATGGGATTTTCATGCTAATTAATCTGACACGTCTTTTCTTTGAATCTGATGATTCACTCTAACTTTGTTCATCCATCCTGCTGTGGCTTCCTGTTAGATGAAAGATACTGACGGTGTAGCTCTTTCTCACCAAGGAAACAAACATGTGAGGCTAGTGTTCTTCTGTGGTCGGGTATCCCACTGTGGTGTCATGGTTGTCTGTGACCTTCACAAGTGCTTTAATTTTCCAGTAAGGTACGTTTAAAGTTTAACCTACCTGAGAGTATTGCCTGAGGGTTTGTATTTAAACTCCACTTTAGACAAATATGTACAGTCAGGGTCAAATGTAAGTACATCCTCTTCTGAAGTTTCAAATTTCAGGACACAAGTAGGAACCATGTTGTCTAAACCAAGTATTAATGTTTGGTAAATGTAACCCATCATATCGAAACGAGGATTAAGTCAAATTTGGTCAAAATTACTTAATTACATTTTCAGATTCCTGCTTTAAAAGCTACATTTTGATACCTGGATCATTTTATCATAAGCTTATCCAGAGATATGACTTAATTTGTCTTGTTGGTATGATAAAACATTACTGTTTGGTCTGAATCCTAATTTTATATAAATTTATTGAGTAATTTTTGATGTCAATATAAAGAGGAAACCTCACATAGTATTTTTTTATATTAAGATTTCCCAGTTGGAAAAAAACAAAAACATTTCTAGCTCACAGGGAAAATATCAAAAATTTAAGGCGTTTTTCCTCAAAAGCTTTTTTTTTGTTGCTACTGCTAAAAAATGCTTCAAAAAGTTTTTTTTAGGATTATATTTTAGACAGTTCATTCAAATGATACATTCATAGGGCTTTAATTCATTATATTTTGACAAAATGCATTTTTTGCACATGTTTAAATCAAAACCTTATATCTGCGTATTTCTCCACATTCCACTTTTGGACTTATGCTAATCCTCGTTTTGATGTGATGGGTCACAAATCAAGCATCCTGAAAAGTGTGTCATCATAAAGTTGTTTTATTTAACAAAAACTAAATCAGTTTGTAAAAACACTGTTTCTATGCWGGAAAMACTAGGTAGAGCTCGTGCAGTGCCCAGCCATAGCAATGAGACTGACGTTTTATGTTTAGTTGAAGTTAAACATGAAACAATGACATTAGTTACAGCAGGCCCTTTGAGGGCCACCATAATGTGGTCCTCAGTGAAAATGGGTTTGACACCCCTGTCCTAGCAGATTCACCTGAGGGTCATTAAAGAAAGTTAGCTTTAGCGGTTAGCTTAATAAATATTAAAGTTCATGTTAGGAAACACCTGAACAAGTGTCTCTTAGAAATGACTTTTCAAAATAAAACTGTGAAGACTGAAAAGTTGTCTCTGAAAAAGAAAATAGTTTTGAACTTTGTCTTTTGGACAGAGAGGTTATTGTGGAGAGCTAATCAGCTGTGGTGGTGATTTCCTGATTTGATTTTTTTGTTAAAAAAAATAAAAATGAATGCAGTGCTTTGAAAGGAAAAAAATACGTATTGCCAGATAATAGTTTGGTCTATATTTTTTCATTTCTTTGTACCATTTGCAAAATTTCTCATGAATCAGACTTTAATGAAACTTTTGTAAAGTTATCACTTGGTTCAATAAAACTTAGTCTGAMACTTTAGCATGAAAGTCGTTGGGCGATGAGCATCGCTTCAACTAATTCTAAATCTTTTACTTTGTGATGCTTCTGGTAGTCGGCACATTCCTGTAGATGTTCTCATACACACGTTGGGCTCATATGTTCCTTTCCACCCACTTCATCTCACTTCTGCAGAGGGGCTGCTGACATTTCTCACATTAACCAACATTCAGAGCGCAGCAGCTTGAAGTTTCCTGTAAGCCTGCTGCTGTGGTCCTGAGATGTTTTATAATGTTTGATCACTCGCTTTATTTAAAAAAAAAAGACTAAAGTCAAGTCATTTTGTAAATTTGTCTGCAATATGATTTAATTAGGGAACTGTGAAAGCAGTGGCAAAATGGATTCTGTTTCCAGCGTTTTGTAGAGTGTTGGGTGTGWAAAGGAAAGCTTTGTTTTAGCATTTTCTGACATTCCTGCATTGCTTTTGTTTTTTTTTAACAATGTTATCTGTAACTGGAGGCATTTTAAAGATCAGTTCATCTTGTACTCTGTCTAACCAGTCAACAGCTCTGTTTGAACTTGGCATAAAAGATTAGATGAAATTGAAATTGGGTCATGAAGTGATAAAATATCTGTAAAGAGAACTTAAAAGGACACGTCGTGTTTTTTATCTGTAATAACCTTTACCAGCCTGTAGCGTTAATTACTGTGGAATGACAACCTGTCTAAGTAACAACAATGGTTTGTTATGCAACAGCTCCTCTGGCTTGGAGTTTACGGACTCATGGTTCAGTAGTTTTGTGCTGTGTGTGTGTGTGTCAGTGAGTTSCTCTGTTGCTTCGTGTTAGCTYGAGGCTTTTCACTGTGCAAGGAAGCAGGATTCACCAACACTCTGAAGTAGTTCAAACTGTCCCAACAGTCTGGACGGCTATTTTTAGTCCTGGGAAGTCCATGATTTTAAAGGGTTTAGTGTATTTTTTTTATTATTTTTTCTGGTCGTGTTGTTGTGTCTGTGCTCAAGTTAGTGAAGATGTTATGACAGTTCTGCTTCGATGGATGAAATGCTTCAGAAGGATGAAAGGCAAGAAAAGGAGGAAATTGTGAAATGAAAGTTGGGAATCAAAAACCACTAAAAGGAAATCTTAAGTTAACATTCAGAAATTGAATAAGGCTTTATATTATTGTTAACAAGTAATGTTGATGAATGACAACTTTAATTAAATAAAACTCAATTCTTACAGAGATCAGGCTTTACTTTGCAGCTGTGCATCAAATCAGTGGTTCCCAAACTTTTTATCTGCTGATCCACAAAATATTCATGGCAAAAACTTGTGACCCCAAATATTAC